AAACAAAAGATTTTAATTTTCTAAAAAGTAAATTCAGAAAACTCAAATAAAACAAGCTGAATACTATCCTTCTTCTTGAGGTTCAAGTAAGACCAGCCAAGGAGAAGGGAGAGGGAGGGTTGTTTTGGCATGGACGGTGTGGTGCTATTTTTTTTCTCTTAACAACGTGGTTAATTATGAAGTTTATTTGGAATGCCTTTGAGACTTAAGAAGGAATTAGTGGTTTTGACAAGCCAGGAGTTTTTTTTTTTTTTTTTTTTCCAGGGGTTTTTTTTTTTTTTTTTTTTTTTTTAAAAAAAAAAATATGTTTTTGTTTTTTTATTTATAATTTTATTGGATGAAAAGGATAGGAAGGGACAACTAACACATAACTTCACTCTGGAAGGCTATGTTTCATATTTTTTTTTTGGCTATTTCGGTCATAAAAAGATCAAATAGATTAAATAGTTAATAAGACAAAATATCACATTCAAATCATAATCATTTCATTTTTTTCTCTCACAAAAATAAAAAAAATCACAAAATCTATCCCAAACGAGAGTTTTTAGCCACATGCTAAAATAACCAAAAAGTTAAAAAGCTAAAAAATCAATCCACATTCCAAATAAAGGTTAAGTAAGATCACACGAGCCCTTATCCGCTAGATTGTCAAACAAAAGAGGTTTAGAAAATGTGGGAATTCCACTAAATAAGATATGCAGTTATTTCTCAAGAAATAATCGATTCATAAAATGATTCCAACCGACCAACAACATAATAATAAGAAAAATGTTTGGTGGCCCGACAATATGTGGCTCGAATGGCTCGAAAATGGCAAAACGACGTCGTTTTACACCCAAAATGACGTCGTTTTGGATGTTTTGAGTCATGCGAGCCATATATTTTCAGGCCACCAACCAGTGCTGTAATAATAAATAACCGATGACACACCTAAAACAGAAAAAGAGTAAAAAACTAACTTTTATTTTATTTTATGATTTTTTTTTTTACAAATTCAAAATTCAAACATTAGAATTATGAATCATGTTATTAAAAATTGTAGACTTGGCCTTTATTTGGTAGGCCAAAAAGCCTAGGTTTTGACTATTTTAGTGATAAAAAGACAAAATAAGTTAAAAAGTCAATAAGACAAAATGTCACGTCTAAACCATAATTATTTTATTTTTTCTCTCACAAAAGTAAAAAAAATCAAAAAGCTTATTTCAAACTAAACTTTTTAATCTCAGGCTAAAATTACCAAAAAACTGAAAAACCAATTCACATCCCAAACCAACCCTTATCAATCTCTATTACTCAACGAGCTAAGCATATTCCATCTCTCTTCCATGGGGATGGCAATTTGAATCTGGCCCGACGGGGACCCAATCTCCCGACCCCGAATTGAGCGGTTTTTTCCCAAAAAATATCGCTGACGAACCGGGGATGATATTCAAAAATAAATTCCCAATAATATTCGGACCAGGGTCGGTGATATGTGCCCCGACCCCGCCCCGCCCGATGTATCCCTGAGAAAAGTCCCGTATATATATAATATATATGTTGAACTTTTGGTTTGTTTATATATATAATATATATGCTTAACTTTTGGTTTGTTTATATATATAATATATATGTTGAACTTTTGGTTTGTTTATTTATCTTCATTTTCTGGGCTGAGAGAGACACCTCTCACACACACACACAGTCGCTCTGTCTCTCATCAGATCTAATCCCAACACACCCATCTCAACCTCTGCTATCCTTCTCCGATCTCCCTCGTTGCCGATCTCCCTTACCGCCATTGCCGATCTCCCTCTATTGTCCTCACCGCTGATCTCCCTCACTGTCGTTGCCATTTCGCTGTCCTCCTCCGCAGTGCCTTTGCCGATCTCTTCGCCGCCGCGTTGGTTCTTTCTCTGGTTCATCTCATCTCTTCGAAGCCCCTGTGGTTCATCTCTTCGTCGCCGTCGTTGTGCCTTTTCTAATGTCTGGTTCATCTTTGGTTTTTTCTCTAGTCAGATCTGTATTTTTTTTTCATAGATCTAAGGATATGACTGAAGGTGAATGTATGCATAGTGTTAGATAATCTCTGTTTTTTCTCTATTTTTCTCCATTTTCTTCTTGTTGTTTAATGTTTGTGTTGTATATTTGTTTTTTCCTCTGCCTCAAAAAAAAAAAAAAGTCAGAGATTTTTCAGGGTCAGGGAAATCCGATCCCCGTTGGGAGGCGGGGGCGGGGAAGGGTAATGGGTTCCCCGTCGGGGATCGGGGACGAAGAGTATTTTACATTCAGGAATCGGGGACGGGGAGTGTAATCCCCGGCCCCAGCCCGCCCTGTTGCCATTCCTACTCTTTCACATGTAAAGGGTAATCCATATCTTATCTTCTTTCCTTTCATTTTTTTTTTTAATTTTTTGGATATTAATTCATATATATATATATATATATAGATCTGTGTGGTAGACAAATGCATTGTAAGGCAAAACTTAAAAACCATCAGTAACAAAGCGACAACATAAGGGCAAGTCCTATTTATTTGTCGCTTGAGTTTAGAACGTTACAAGAATCTTAATTAAACTCTTATCAAACACTTTACAAGGTTGCATTTGACGACAATGTCAAAATTTAGAAGCTTACTAAAGGAATATTCAATCCCAGATGATTGTGTATATTTTGATTTTCTCTTGCTTTTGTGTTCTTATCTTTTCAACCAATAGGGTGTTTAGTGTAGATTAAATAAGTTGTTTATAGTTTATTTTGACTTAAGAGTTTGTGTCAAATTATGTAGTGCAACTTCCACTTACACTTTATTAGGCGAAAATATTTTTAAAAAATTGAAAAAAATTTGATTATTTAAAAATTGGAGAGGTACTACAAGAAAAGTGGGCTTAAAAGATGGAACTTTTTATGACGGCACATTTGCCGTCACAACACAAAAAAAATGTAACCTATTGAGACGGCACAACTTGCTGTTGCAAAAAATGTGACCTTTTGTGACGGCATAACTTGCTGTCGCAAAAAAAAAATGGCGAAAAATATGACTTTTTTGCGACAGCACAATTTGCCGTCGTGAAAAATAGAATATTTGCGACGGCAGAAATTGTTGTCGCAAAAAAAAAAAGAATATTTGCGATTGTAATAGGTACCGTTGTAAAAAAAAAAGTAACAATATATATATATGTATATGTATATTGTGGCTTTGAGACGGCTTCATATATATATAGTCACAAAATGGTTTAAATAAATGCAACGGTATTTTTTTGTCACAAAAAAAAAAAAAAAGACGTCGTCTCACTCTTTTGATATAACATTTCTCTTTTCACCCATTTTTTCATCTTCATGTCTCTCTGTCTCTGTCTCTCTTCTCTTTCTCTTTCTCACTCATTACTCTTCTCTGTCTGTCTGTCTGTCTCTCTCTTTCTCTCTATGTCTCTGTCTTTGTCTCTCTTCTCTTTCTCTCTCCCACTCATCATTCTTTTCTGTCTGTCTGTCTGTCTCTCTCTTTCTCTCCGTGTCTCTGTCTCTTTTCTCTTTCTCTCTCTCACTCATCATTCTTTTCTATCTGTATGTCTGTCTCTCTTTTTCTCTCTGTGTTTCTGTCTCTGTCTCTATCCCACTCATCATTTTTCTCTGTTTGTCTGTCTGTTTGTCTCTCTTTCTCTCCGTGTCTCTCGTCCATCTATCTTCTCTTTTCCTCTCTCTCTTTTTCTCTCTTTCTCTCTCTCTTGTTTATCTCTTTTTGCTCTCTTTGTCTCTCTCTCTCTCTCACTCATCACTCTTCTCTGTCTGTCTGTCTATCTTTTTTTCTCTTTGTGTCTCTCACTTATCTCTCTTCTCTATATCTTTCTCATCTCTCTATCTCTTTCATTTCTCTTCTCTCTCTGTCTGTCTCTCTCTTTTTCTATGTCTCTCTCTCATTTATATTTTTTCACTCTCTTTCTCTCTCTTTGTCTATCTCTCGCTTATCTTTTGTTTCTCTCTTTTTTTGTCTCTCTCTATCTCTTTCTCTCTTACTCATCACTATTCTGTCTTTCTTTCTCTCTCTCTCTCTTTTTCTCTTTCTGTCTACCTGTTTGTTTGTCTGTCACTCTCTTTCTCTCCCCCACTGTGTTCACCCTGCTCACTTTTTTCCTTATCTCTTCCCTATTTACCGAGCTCCCTCTCGATTTATCGATCCACTACAAGAAAATGCACTTTTAGCGATCACTTTGTCTCTCTCTCGTTTATCACTCTGTCTTTCTCTCTTTCTCTTTCTCTCTCTCTCTCCCTCCCTCTCTCTCTTTCTTCTCTATCTGTCTCTCATTCATCTCTCTCTCTCACTACCCATCTACTCTACTATCTTCACCACTATTGTAAATGTCACTCCACTATCACCACTGTTACCACTCCACCTCTATGACTACCATTACTACCACCATCGCCACCATTCCACTACCACTACTACCATTATCTCTCCTCTACCATCGCCACTCCATCATCTCTACCACTACCATAACTTCACCACTAATCTCTTTCGCCATCACCATCACCTCTTATCCCCCGTCTTCACCACTACTGCCGCTCCCTTTGAAACTTGATTCAAATTTATTTTTTAAAGACTAAAAATTAGTTTCATGAAAAATTTTAAAAAATCAAAACTATCATACTTGTCAATTTTATTTAATTTTTTGAAGGATATGATCAGCTTGTTTGGTTTAGATTTTCAGTATTTATGTTTTCACTATTTTTTTTAATATTCTAAGCATTTTTTTTAATTTTTAAATACATCACACATAAATATACTTTAAAAATATAATATTTGTGAAAAAAAAATATTTATAAAATTCACTAAATACTATAAATATATATATATATATATGAAAATTTAGTACATTTTTCGTATTGTTGTGCATTTATTGATTTTTAATTTTTTTTGACAAATATTTTACTTTTTAAATACATCTAAGCAAAGTGCATCTAAAAATATAAAAAATAAAAATTACTTAAAATTTAAAATTTCACTGAAAAAAAAATATACAAAAAATAAAAAACTCAATTTTTAAAAAATTAAATCAAAAAAATCGAAATCAAATAAATTTTAAAAATTCAAAAATACATTTTTTAAAAGAAATCAACAAAACATGATCTCAATTTTTTACCTCCCTCCCAAATTTCGCAATGTTCGAATTTCCCACAAAACCCTATCTCTGATTTCGTTTTCCCTCTCTTTCTTTTCACGCTCAAACAGTAAATTCACCAAAAGAAAAGCCCTAATTTCCAAACCCCCTTAACGCTAACACGCAGTGTACTCTCCGCTCAACTCTTTCCTTATCCACACACACTCACACACAGAAATGGCTTCCGTGAATGCTATCTCCACCGCCTCGATCCTCACTTCTCCCAAACAGGTAATACTATCATCACAACTCTTTGTCTGCTGTCGATGTATGTATGTATGTGTGGAGATATATTTTCTGAGTACCAACACGTGGCAAGGTGACGCCAACGTGTCAACCGAGGTGCTACGTGTCTTGGTCGTGACGCCGAGGTGATCTCAGCAAGGCCGAGGTTATCTTCGAAGATATCAGAATCCGAGATAAGCGGATAAAGGACAAGAGTCCTAGAATGAAGAAGGAACTCAACCTGGATGAGGGACAAGAGTCCTAGAATGAGAGAAGACTTCAGTTTGTATTAAGATAAGACTCTTAGAGAGTTTATCCTAATCTTACTGGGAGTCCAAGATTAGCAGTAATCCTGAGTCCATAGAAGTTAGGCTTCTATTGGGACTAGGTTTATGTTGGCTATAAAAGAGAGGCACCCCATGGGTCTAAGGTATGCTTTTGATACTCAAGCTTGTGAGTTTAGTACTTGATTTATCTTTGTGAGATATACTAACTTGATCATCGGAGTGCCCCCGGGTGGTTGAACCACCGCCGGAGACTTCTCTTTCTGTTGCAGGTTAACTAAAGGCCATCTATTCTGCCAGTGCTTTTCTAGCTGATTACTAGGCGGGCAGTGTGGTCAGAAAATCACCCACACAATTTGGCGCCGTCTGTGGGAAAGAAAGAAGAATAGATGGCTAATGACAGACAGAAGGATCAGATTAGAAACAATGCTCCTACTGCGAGTCGGAAACCTATCGATCTCGACGTTGCAGGGGACGACCGCAACACAGAAATTCATGACCAGATTCACGGAGTGAAAGACGCAGGCCAGGAAGGTGACGCACCAAAGATAACAGATCGAAGCGGATACTACAACGAAGATGACCTCCAGGTATGGAAGGATAGATACCTGCGGAGAAACGAAAACCTTTCCAGAAGGGATGCAAAGACAGGGGGCATGAGCGCTCTCAAGGAGATAACATTCGAGTATAGAAGAACTCATCCTGAGTGAGCAGATCCCGGATTCCAGATCCCGGATCCGAGAAGACATGATCTCAGCCTAGACAAGTAGGCCTGAGAAGATGAGAGCTCAACCTAAGTGAGCAGATCCCGGATTCCAGATCCCGGATCCTAGAAGACATGATCTCGGCCTAGATGAGTAGGTCCGAGGAGAGAAGAGCTCAACCTGAGTGAGCAGATCCAGGATTCCAGAAGATAAGATCTCGGCACCTGAGTCCGAGAAGAGAAGAGCACAATGAGTAGATCCCAAATCCCAGAAGATAAAAAGAAAACACACAAAATCAGACTAAAGTTGGCCAGAATTGAGAAGTATGCTAGGGCCGAGGAGGACATGCCAGGAACAAAGGCGTCGGAACAAGAAAAGAGAAACGGCTCGCCGATGCGAGGCCGAAAATAGAACTCAGGTTGGAGCCAAGTAAGATCAATAGAGAAACCAAGGCCGACAACCTCGGATTGAATTCAACCTCGGCGACAAGGTCGAAGCTACATGATGAGAACCCAAGTGGATTTTAAGTTCACATTGGGGGCAAAGAGAAGAAGAATGCGGTTACCACTTGTTGAAATTTGTAGCAATTTACAAGTTGAAGTTAAGCCGAGATAATTGTTTATCTTCACTTGTTGAAATTTGTAGCAAATTATAAGTTTTTACAAGTTGAAGCTAAACCAAAGTAATGCTTAACGTTTGTTGAAATTTGTAGCAATTTACAAGTTGAAGCTAAACCAAAGTAATGCTTAACGTTTGTTGAAATTTGTAGCAATTTACAAGTTGAAGCTAAACCAAAGTAATGCTTAACGTTTGTTGAAATTTGTAGCAATTTACAAGTTGAAGCTAAACCAAAGTAATGCTTAACGTTTGTTGAAATTTGTAGCAATTTACAAGTTGAAGCTAAACCGAAGTAATGCTTAACGCTTGTTGAAATTTGTAGCAATTTACAAGTTGAAGTTAAACCGAAGTAATGCTTAACGCTTGTTGAAATTTGTAGCAATTTACAAGTTGAAGTTAAACCGAAATCATTGTTTACCTTCACTCGTTGAAATTTGTAGCAATTTACAAGTTGAAGTTAAGCCAAGATCATTGTTTACTTTTCTTTGTTGAAATTTGTAGCAATTTACAAGTTGAAGTTAAGTCGAGATCATTGTTTACCTTCACTTGTTGAAATTTGTAGCAATTTACAAGTTGAACAAGAAAATAATGACCCCGACACGATGCTAGCAACAAAAAGCGGATATGACAAAAATAGTGCCAGACATTCAAACAATTCAAAACTTGAAGACAGACGAAAATAGAAGGCAACAGATGGCAAGTAAACAGATTCAGAAGAGTTATGAAAGATTGAGCTTAATAGTAAGTAAAGAGTTTATGAACCTACAAAGTAAAATGAACGCCGATATGAAAATCGCCGGAGTCAAATAGATGACTGGAAATCAGGAACTCACCAGAGAATGTGAGTGGAGCAGTTGCAAAGCTCTTGGAGTTTACGAATTAATGGAACCAGAACCTCGGCTAGGAGGTGCGATTTCAAGTAGCCTGGAAGGCATGAATCTTGATACTTGACACAAGTGGACAATAAGGTCCAAGGAACTTTGAGGTCGGCGAGTATGATCTCGGACATAGGGGCACAGATGAACGAACAGTGTAGGTTCCATCACCTCAGGATGCCGAGGTAATAGAACCTAGGGGCAGTTGTGGGGACATAATTTTTGAATGACAACACGTGACTGAGGTGACACCGAAGTGTCAGCCGAGGTGTCACGTGTCTTGGTCATGACAACAAGATGATCTCGGCTAGGCCGAGGTTATCTCTGAAAATATCAGAATCCGAGATAAGTGGATAAAGGACAAGAGTCCTAGAATGAAAAGGGAACTCAACCTAGATATGGATAGGAGTCCTAGATTAGGAGGAGACTTCAGTTTGGGTAAAGATAAGACTCTTAGAGAGTTTATCCTAATCCCACTGGGAGTCCCAGATTAGCAGTAATCTTAAGTCCATTAGGGCCAGGCTCCTATTGGGACTAGGATTGTATTGGCTATAAAGGAGAGGCACCCCCATGGGTCTAAGGTATGCTTTTGATACTCAAGCTTGTGAGTTTAGTACTTGATTTATCTTTGAGAGATATACTGACTTGATCGTCGGAGTGCCCCCGGGTGGTTGAACCACCGCGGGATTCTTATATTTCTGTTGCAGGTCAGTCAGGTGTCATCTATTCTGCCGGTGCTCTCCAGTTGGTTACTAAGCGGGCAGTGTGATCGAAAAATCACTCACACAATTTACAAGTTGAAGTTAAACCGAGATAATTGTTTACCTTCACTTGTTGAAATTTGTAGCAATTTACAAGTTGAAGTTAAGCCGAGATCATTGTTTACCTTCACTTGTTAAAATTTGTAGCAAGTTACAAGTTAAAGTTAAGCCGATATATATTGTTTAACACTTGTGAAAATTTGTAGCAATTTACAAGTAGATCATTGTTTAGCACTTGTTATAACTTAAGAAAAGTTTACGAAGTTGAGATTAAACTAGTATATGTTTATCCTTGTTGAAATTTGTAAGCAATTTACAGGACAAGTACTTGCCGAAGTAAAACGTCAGGTGGCATAACCGAGGTGTGTCACCCCGAGAAGATTGCACAAAGAAGGAAAAATACATAAGATATGCAAAATATTCTAACTATAGAATCATGCAAGAGCAGTTAGAAGAAAATTAGGACAGAATTCATGGTAATTGACACGCCCTCGCCATGCAATATCGTCTTGGGAAGGCCATGATTGCATGCAATGGGGGCAGTTCCCTCAACATTGCACCAACTACCGCGGTTCCCAACAGAACATAGGATTGAAAAAGTCAGAGGGGATCAACTGCAGGCGGAGAATTGCTCCATGGCAGCAATGAAATCCACCTGCAGCATTCGAGAATCAGAGAAGGCAGAGATTGAAAACGAGGACATGGAGGTACAAGATGATGTCGGCAAGGAGCCAGCCGAGAGGAGTAAAGAGGCACTGAAAATCCTCGTCCAGGAGGGGGATAAAGAACACTTCTTTCTTCTGGGCTTAGGCTTAGCCGAAAAAGAAGAAAGGGAATTAGAAGCTTTTTTGAGAGCAAACATTGAGGTATTTGCTTGGACACCTTACGAAATGCCTGGCATTGACCCCGAGATCACTTGCCACCAACTGAACGTCGACAGGTCGGCCAAACCTGTAAATCCAACGAGCAAAAGGACTGACGTTGATGCGCGTCGAAGCAGTAGAGGAAGAAGCAAACAGACTTCTGGAGAACAGGGCCATTCAAGAAGTTAATTACCCGACATGGCTATCAAATACAGTGGAAGAAGGAATGATAATCAAGGAGCAAGGAATGTTAACATCAGCCAACAACAGACATTTTTCAGAAGCAAAAAAGGTTGCATATGCAAGGAAAACAAAAGTACAAAGATGAAGACCCTAAGAACTAGGGATTAGGGTAAGAACGTCGGACTAATCTACTACAACGGTTGACGGTGGTTCAGCATTGGCAGTCAGTTGGGAGAGCTTCTCTACTATTATCTCGGCAACAATTTCAAGAAAGGACGTGGTTTTAAGACTATGCAGAAAACAGAAACGAAGGCAAGAATCTGGAAATACAACAAGAAAAACAAGAAGAGAAAAAACAGAGTCAAGAAGATGACAAAGTTGAAAGAATAAAACACAGGCACTAAGTAAGTATGTGAAGAACAAGAAAGTAATGAACCAGACATGATGCTAGCAACAGAAAGAGGATATGACAAGAATAGTTCCAGACATTTTAGCCATAAGAAATCAAACACTTGAAGACAGACGAGAACAGAAGGCCACAGATGGCAAATAAATAGATTCAAAGTAAATCAAAAGAGTTATGAAATATTGAGCTTAATAAAAAGTGAGAATTTATGAACCTACCAAATGAACACCGATATAAAGATCGCCAGAGTCAAATAGGTGACTGGAAATCAGGAAACCCACCGGAGAGTGTGAACGGAGCAGTTGCAGAAAG